TCTCGCTCCTGCGCAGTGTGAAGAAGAAGGGGCGATCTCGCTCCTGCGCAGTGTGAAGAAGAAGGGGCGATCTCGCTCCTGCGCAGTGTGAAGAAGAAGGGGCGATCTCGCTCCTGCGCAGTGTGAAGAAGAAGGGGCGATCTCGCTCCTGCGCAGTGTGAAGAAGAAGGGCGATCTCGCTCCTGCGCAGTGTGAAGAAGAAGGGGCGATCTCGCTCCTGCGCAGTGTGAAGAAGAAGGGGCGATCTCGCTCCTGCGCAGTGTGAAGAAGAAGGGGCGATCTCGCTCATGCGCAGTGTGAAGAAGAAGGGGCGATCTCGCTCATGCGCATTGTGAAGAAGAGCGATCTCGCTCCTGCGCAGTGTAAAGAAGAAGGGCGATCTCGCTCCTGCGCAGTGTGAAGAAGAAGGGGCGATCTCGCTCCTGCGCAGTGTGAAGAAGGAGCGATCACGCTCCTGCGCAGTGTGAAGAAGGAGCGATCACGCTCCTGCGCAGTGTGAAGAAGGAGCGATCACGCTCCTGCGCAGTGTGAAGGAGCGATCACGCTCCTGCGCAGTGTGAAGAAGGAGCGATCACGCTCCTGCGCAGTGTGAAGAAGGAGCGATCACGCTCCTGCGCAGTGTGAAGAAGGAGCGATTACGCTCCTGCGCAGTGTGAAGAAGGAGCGATCACGCTCCTGCGCAGTGTGAAGAAGGAGCGATCACGCTCCTGCGCAGTGTGAAGAAGGAGCGATCACGCTCCTGCGCAGTGTGAAGAAGGAGCGATCACGCTCCTGCGCAGTGTGAAGAAGGAGCGATCACGCTCCTGCGCAGTGAGAAGAAGGAGCGATCACGCTCCTGCGCAGTGTGAAGGAGCGATCACGCTCCTGCGCAGTGTGAAGAAGGAGCGATCACGCTCCTGCGCAGTGTGAAGAAGGAGCGATCACGCTCCTGCGCAGTGTGAAGAAGGAGCGATCACGCTCCTGCGCAGTGTGAAGAAGGAGCGATCACGCTCCTGCGCAGTGTGAAGAAGGAGCGATCACGCTCCTGCGCAGTGTGAAGAAGGAGCGATCTCGCTCCTGCGCAGTGTGAAGAAGGAGCGATCTCGCTCCTGCGCAGTGTGAAGAAGGAGCGATCTCGCTCCTGCGCAGTGTGAAGAAGGAGCGATCTCGCTCCTGCGCAGTGTGAAGAAGGAGCGATCTCGCTCCTGCGCAGTGTGAAGAAGGAGCGATCTCGCTCCTGCGCAGTGTGACAAGTGACATCTTGCTTACTACTATTCATGTGATCACTGATTGGGCAATCAGTGATCACATGATTGGGACCTCACACAGAGGTCCCATACAGGGATCGGTGTTCCGTTGTGTCCTCTGGACACAGCGGGCACCAGATTGCGGTGCCACGCTCCCTGGGAGCGCGCACAGGCAGGGAAGCGGGAGGGCGTTTATAAACGGCCACCCGCTCCTGCACTGCTCCCGTCCTGCTGTTTATGTACATGGGCCGGATGGGAAGTGGTTAAACATCCCTACAGCTCCCAGCCATTGGGTGTTGAAGACTTTAGCTGTGAAATCTGATGATCAAATGTGAGCATGCACTTCTAAAGGGATTCAAGGGATGTGTTCTTCCATATGATACTCGGGAACAAAATGACTGACGGCAGAGAAAGCCAATAGCTGTGACAGATGGGCAAGGACAGTACAGGCCAGGAGAGGAGAATGATGCATGATTGAAGTTGTTCAGATAGGAAATGAAGGTAAGCTCAAGATAGTTGCTGCAGAATTTTACAGGTTATACAGGTTTGCACGGAATTGAGAGTTCCTAATTTAAACAAAAGAGAGGACTTGCTACAAGCGTGAAGAAAAAAAGGTAAGGCTGGAGTTCCGCTTTAACAGTTTTATTACCTGTTGCTCCTGCCAGCAGTTTTATTACTTCTCCAAATCTTTGAAAAGGTCAAGCTCTCAAGCATAGGCAGTTAGAGGGACTGGGACCAATCATATACCACTGGTGGGCGTGTCCACAATCATCAGCTTTTATTTATCTGTGATAAGCTGTCTTTCCAAAAGAAAAAAACTGCTTCTGTTTAAAAGTGCTAGGCTCGGTTCACACGAGTGCGACTGCAAATTTCCAGTGCGACTTTGGAGTGTGATTTTTATGCAACTTTTACACTTTATGGCACCCTAGGCGCAAGAAAGTCGCATCAAAGTAGTCAAGGAACCTTTTTTAAAAGACACTGTGATGAAATTCGCATAGATTGGAATGGGTGCCATTGAAAAAAATGGGTTGCGACTTGTCATGTGACTTTATGTGTCTAAAGTCTCACTAGTGTGAACTGAGCCTTAGGTGGAGTCTAGTCAGGCTTTAATGTATTTACTGGTGAGTGGGGGGAGGGAGCGCTAAGACGCATCTACCCTGCGTGCGTTTGAGGATGGACCGTCAGCAATGGGGGTTAATAGAAGGTCCATGTGGAGGTGGTGTCCAAGTCCATCTGTAGTGGGGGGCTTGTAGTAGTATGGACTTGTCCGAGGAGGCAGACGGCTCTAAGAGTTTGTAGATACTCCTAATGCAGGTAGAGCAGAGAGACGGCAGCGCCACTCTTAGGCTACGTTCACACTAGCCTTGTGTGCAGGCGGCAGAGAGGCGTTTGGGAAGTGTTTTTACTGCTTCCCAAACGCCTCTGCCAATTCTGCACATTACAGCACATGGTGCTGTTCTAACGGGAGCGTTTGCGTTGCGTCGCGGCAAAACAGACGCCTCTGGTCGAGTCAGGAGGCTTTGAAGCCTCCTATTCTCGTCTATGGTGCCGCTCCGCAAACGCCCGGCCGGCGTTTGCGGTGCGGTTGCGGGGCGTTTGCGGAGCGGTAACACCACTCAAACTGTATTATAGGCGTTAGTGGGGCGTTATTAACGCTCGGCAAACGCCTAGCAACCGCCACTAAACCGCGCATGCGGCGTTTGCGGAGCGTTAAAAAAAACGCTCCACAAATGCCGGACCAACGCTTGCCAAACGCTATAGGGGCGTTTGGCAAGCGTTGGTAAAACAGCCAAGTGTGAACGAGCCCTAAGTGTAGACGGTTACAATCAGGCGGATTTAACCTCTTGCCTCCCAGGCACTTTTACCCCCTACGTGCACAGGCCAATTTTCAGCTTTCAGTGCTGTTGCACTTTGAATGACAATTGCGCAGTCATGCAACACTGTACCCATATGAAATTTTTATCATTTATCAAACAAAAAAAGAGCAAAAACTTTGAAAACAAAAAAAGGTTTTCTTTGTTTCTATTATAAAATTTTGCAAACAGGTAATTTTTCTTCTTCATTGATGTGCATTGATGAGGCTGCATTTTTTTTTTTTTTTTGCTCTTTTCTTGTTTATAGCGCAAAAAAATAAAACACCCAGCAGCGATTAAATAAAACCAAAAGGAAGCTCTATTTGTGTGAAAAAAATTATACCAATTTCATATGTGTTCAGTGTTGCATGACCGCGCAAATGTCATTCAAAGTGCGACAGAACTGAAAGCTGAAAATTGGCCTGGGCAGGAAGGGGATAGAAGTCCCCGGTAGGCAAGTGGTTAATGGTAACTCACATAGATAGGTAACAGGTAGGCAGGTCAAGTAATGGAGGTCCAGTGGGAGCATCAGGTCCTTTGGCCATGTTCTGGGCGTTTTCCCGTTGCGCCGGTGGTGTCCAGGGCTCGAGGAGTAGCGGAGGCTCGCAGGGATAATGTCACCACATGTGAGTGCAAATTTACTATTAAATCTTCCTAATTTTAACTGTCTACACATAGAGTGGCGCTGCCGTCTCTCTTCTCTACTTTTAACGTATTTGCTACTTGCTCAAAGTCAGTTTAACCCCTTCCTGCCGGCGTCTCCCGGCCCTTTAAGAGTTTCAGACCCCGGGAGGCAGGGCGTGGTTTAGGAATCATGTGACCGCCGTGACGTGTCACCACGGAGGTCACATGATCGGGAAACGTCCTGATCGAAAGAGCAGACCGGGACCTTTCCGTGAGTACCGGACATGTGTGCTGGGAGCGCGCAGGGCACGCACTCTCAGCACATATGTTTTTTCTTACCTGAACGGAAATGTGCGGCCGCTCAGCGTCTAGGCCCAGACGCCGGGAGGCCAAACATTTGTGTGCGGCCGGCGTAAAGGGATTAAAATTCATGTCTACTGAAGACTACCCTGTCCAGGGTGACAATGCTGCTGTGCAATTTCACTGCAAAGCAAACAGTGTTGTCACCCTGTTAAAGGAAGGACAAATACCAGCTCTTGTGGCAGGATCAACAGGTAATATATCTATGTTACAGGATGGACACAGAAAAACAGAAAACGACTGCTGTGTTAATGCCATGGACAAACTGCAATAGAGGAGTTTATTTTGCCCATAGATTCACTTTAACAACTTGCATGACAATGCTTTGACCACCCCTTCCTGCAATTTGGCATCCATACTGGGAAGACTTGGTGTGACTCGTAGTTGCTAAAAAACTGGAAAAGCCTACATCTTCACTGGATGATACTGTCTCTTTATTCGACAAATGCAGAAGGCAAAGTGTCAAAACTCAGAGCCTCTGGTCCAAAAAGCTTTCGTGAGATAGATTGCTACAAACTGCTGAAATCTGATGTACTGGATGCTGGAGTCATCGCCCACCACTACCTGGCACAAATAAAGTTCTGTTTTGTGTTTGTGAAAGAAACAGAGAATACAAATGGGATCATAAATTAGGGGTCAACTTCTAGATCTGTTGGAAAAGGTCCCGTTCATGCAAAAACTCCTCTTTATAATGTATCTAGACTGCATGTGGAAAAAGCTCACAGAGGTTATGGCAAAGATTTAGAAGCTGCATATCAATGGATGGTACAAAGTAGAAATATATAGTAGATAAAATGTGGAAAAGCCTAACTGAGCAGCTGATAAGTTGAGATCCAATGTGTAGGCTAAGAAGTGTGGTCATACTACATGGTGTGAGGGAAAAGTGCCAGTGAGAACAGGGGGCGATAGTGAGGAAATTCAGCAATGCGGCTCTTACCAGTCTCTGCTGCTCCAGGAGGAGATCCGCTTCTTCCTTCTCCTTTTTGTACAAAATTTCCATTTCCTGAAGCCTGTAGGAATAGATAGAAGAAAACGGCATCAAGTACAACAGTCCTAAGCAGGGGTGGACTGACAACTCATGGGGCCCCCGGGCAATAGGGGATCATGGGGCCCCTGTGTCCTCGCCCACACTCAAAAAAGCCTAGAAAAGGTACCAGGGACATCTCATGGGGACCCCTACTGACCCCGGGTCCTCGGGCAGTGCCCAAGTTCCCCAATGGTCAGTCCACCCCTGGTCCTGAGAATATCCTAAAGGCAGCCATACACAGAGGAATCCTAAAGGGTAAATTCACCTTTTTCGAGCAGAATTTCACTTTTTGTAATAAATAGAATTCTTTTCCAATGTCCTTTCTGCCCCAGCCATTCCAGTGGGCGTATCTCTCACTTACCTCATCCATGGAAGCTTTCAGTTTTCACCTTCCTGTTTTAGTTTTAAAAAAAAATGCTTCCTGCTTGCATCGCTTTCTGTAGGTCATATCCCATCATGCACTGCTAAAGATGTCCACAGAATAAGGCGTGTCCATCACTCTGGACCCCACATCCCTGTTTACTATACCACCTCTTATTTCCACCCACCTTCTGTACATTCTGATTTCTGTACTATCTCCTTTAGATCTACCATCACCTATGTAGTGCAAGGGCCTGTCTGACTTGATGGACAAATGGAATGGATTGTCCAGGTCTGTCCTCCTATTCCACAGTTTTGGTAAATCTAAAAGAAATTGTACAATCTGATTGCATAGTGGATGGCCATCTTCATACTATACACAGGCGGGAGTGTACAGAGACACTTAGCTGTCAGGCCCCAATCACATCTTCACATAGCAAGAACTCACATTCCTGCAAAAGGTTTTTTGGGGAGCATTTTGAATCCCTTCAGAAGAAGTCCGGAAGTGACGAAACGCGTCAGGAACGTGACGCCTGACATAATATGCAAACTGGAAGTAGCGGAGCGGCCATCTTTGCTATTGGAATCGGCATTGCAGTGTTCCAGGAAGCTGCTCTAGGCTGGGACATGGGAATATGCTGCTGATTGATGAGTATTTTAATGTAAGCACTACAATAAATGTTTATATTACTTGAAATGCTACACTATGTGTAGTATTCAAACTACTAACATTGACGTACAAAGCCATTCATAACACTGCCCCAAACTACCTCACCGACCTGATACCCAACCTGTACTCTTCGCTCCTCACAAGACCTCCTACTTTCTAGCTCCCTGGTCGTCTCCTCCTCCCATGCCCGACTGCAGGACTTCTCCAGGACTTCCCCTATCCTCTAGAACTCACTACCCCAATCCATCAGACTGTCACCTACCCTCCTCACCTTTAGGCGCACCCTGAAAACCCATCTCCTCAGGGAAGCCTACCTCACCCTCACCTAACAGCCTATCTCCTCCACTCCTCCCACCACTCCATCCCCCAAATCCACTTCCTCCTGTACCACTATCCCCTCCCTCCTAGATTGTAAGCTCGAAAGAGCAGGGCCCTCGAACCCCTCGTATATTGTTTTATTACTGTATTGTCTCATGTTCTGTCCCCCCACTATAATGTACAGTGCTGAGCAAACCTTTTGGCGCTATATAAATACTGTATAATAATAATAATAAATATGTGGGCTTCAGAATAGGTAAATACAGCGATCTTTTCTTTACAGAGTTAGAAAGATTAGGCTTAGAATGTGGCTGAGAGTAGGTTTAGAGTTCGATAGGCTTTGCCAAGACTTCCACTTTAAATAACAAATGTAATCTCTTAGATTGTAAACTCCCAGGATCAGGCCCTCCTTTCCCTCTTGTATTGAACTGTATTGTCTCCTATTATATTGTAAAGCGCTGAGCAAACTGTTGGCGTGATATAAATCCTGTATAATGATAATAACATTAGCAGAAAGGACCAGCTTAGTGCTACAGAGCAAAAAGTGACTGAGAAAACCGATGTTTTAACTTAGGAAAGTTAATTTAAAAATGAAATCTGATTGGTTGTGTGTATATTTTGCTCTTCCCTTATTGGACAACCCATTCAGCACAAGAGTGATAATAGCTTGCGGCACAAAGGAGCGTGTACCTTTTCTCCATCTCCTGTTTCATATCAATGCCTTGCTTCTCCAAGAGCTCACGCTGGGCAAACGTCCAATCCACAGGCTCCGAGGGTGTCTCTGCCGATGGCGTCTTCTCCCTCTCTGCCCTGGCCTGCTCGGGGTGGTTGAAACGGAAAACGTGGTTCTTACCCATAATGATTCGGTTCCCTGAAAGAACGGGAAGGAAGGAAGGAGGATTAAAGTGAATGAGGCGACTATTTTGGAAGTTGAAGTAATATAAAGTGAAAACTTCCCTACTTACCGGAACGCAGCTGTACGGGAAGGATAACCCGCTTTCCATTCACGTAAGTCTCTGAAAGCTCACATGGCTCCAATGTGACAACAACTAAGGGAATGAAAGGCAAGAGATAAGCAACAGATGCTGAAGAAGCATTTTCTTTGGGTCCCAAATGCAATAAATGGTAAATATGCGATGGTTGAACGCAGAGCATTCATTTATTTGTTCCAAAACTGAACAATATCATGAAGAAAAATTGTGTTAGGCTACGTTCACACTAGCGTTGTGTGCAGGCGGCAGAGAGGCGTTTGGGAAGCGTTTTTTACCGCTTCCCAAACGCCTCTGCCAATTCTGCACATTACAGCACATGGTACTGTTCTAACGGGAGCGTTTGCGTCGCGTCAAAACGGATGCCACTGGTCGAGTCAGGAGGCGTTGAAGCCTCCTATTCTCGTCTATGGTGCCGCTCCGTGCGGTTGCGACACGGTTGCGGGGCGTTTGCAGAGCGGTAACACCACTCAAACTGCATTATAGGGCGTTTGTGGGGCGTTATTAACGCTCGGCAAACGCCTAGCAACCGCCGCTAAACCACGCATGTGGCGTTTGCAGAGTTAAAAAAAACACTCCGCAAACGCCGGACCAACGCTTGCCAAACGCTATAGGGGCGTTTGACAATCGTTGGTAAAACAGCCAAGTGTGAACGAGCCCTTAGCTGTGCAGTCATCTGACAACTCAGCCTGTCCCACTACAATTCATCATTTGTCCCATCACAATTCATCATTAGTTTGAAGTCATTACCTTCTCCATTTGGCTTCCTCTCGCTGCGGAATATGCAATGTTTCTCTTTAATATGGGCGCCACTTAGCACGATATCCTGGCGCCTCTCTGCATCTGCCTGACCAACCCTGGTGAAAGAAGATGGCAGAGGTTACGTCAAGCAGTTGCAGATCATCCGATGTGGGCAATGACATCTTATCTCGGCTTACCTGGTGATACCATCTTTGATGTAATACAAAAGGCACTCTGACATGAGAGGATCTTCATTAAGGTTAACAAGGTGAGGAGTCTGCAAAAGAGAACGTAATTGTTAAAAGAGATCTTCCATGATTGGAATCCGTAACCTGCCTACTTGCAGCTATTCAATGAGAAATCCGGGGGCCCACATCCACAGCACAGTTTACAACATCATACATAAACTCCAGCCCATAAGACTCAGCATATCCACTCCACAACCAATTACAAAAATGAGACTTCCCTGGGCAGAACTTCAAGCAGAATTTAAATATATATGTAGGAACCCTTTTACTCGATAAAGGATTTATTATTTATTTATTTCAGGCACTTATAGATTTTCTTTCACTTTCACGCTTTGCGATGGTGGTCATCAGGACAAATAGAGAGGGCAAATCTCCCTATGAACACCTATGAAAACCTGACAGGGGTTCTAATCCCTCCCCACGCTATCCAACTTCCCCCCCCCCCCCCCCCAAAAAAAAAAAGATTTGACTTGAGTTCAGGGGTGGACTGACCATTTGGAAACTCGGGCACTGCCCGAGGGCCCGGGGTCAGTAGGGGGCCCCATGAGATGCCCCTGGTACCTTTTTCATAGGCTTTTTTGAGTTTGGGCAAGGACACAGGGGCCCCATGATCCCCTATTGCCCGGGGGCCCTATGAGTTGTCAGTCCGCCCCTGTATAGCACTGTTAATTTACGCAGCGCTTTACATATATATTGTACATTCACATCAGTCCCTAACCCTCAAGGGGTGTACAATCTAAGGTCCCTAACCCTCAGGGGGTGTACAATCTAAGGTCCCTAACCCTCAGGGGGTGTACAATCTAAGGTCCCTAACCCTAAGGGGGTGTACAATCTAAGGTCCCTAACTCACATTCATACATACACATACTAGGACCAATTAAGACAGAAGACCATTCACCTACCAGCATGTCTTTGGAGCATGGAAGGAAACCAGAGTACCCAGAGGAAACCCACGCAGGCACAGGGAGAACATGCAAATTCCAGGCAGGTGATGTTGTGGTTGGGAATCGAACCAGCGACCAGGGGTGGACTGACCATTTGGAAACTTGGACACTGCCCGAGGGCCCGGGGTCAGTAGGGGGCCCCATGTGATGCCCCTGGTACCTTTTTCATAGGCTTTTTTGAGTTTGGGCAAGGACAGGGGGCCCCATGATGCCCTATTGCCCGAGGGCCCCATGATTTGTCAGTCCGCCCCTGCCAGCGACCCTAGTACTGCCAGGTGGAAGTGCTAACCATTTAGCCACTGTGCTGCCCACACACAATGCTTCAGCCTTTCTGTTGTTCTCTATCAATGACATTTTATCAGGGAATTGCTTGAGGATCAGCTAAGATCATTCTGATCAAAATGCCAAATTATCATTTTTAGGTGGCTTAAGTAGCCCATAGGGTGGAAGGAGAGAAAACTGCTCGATTCCCCCATCAATACAGTCAGTGTTGATGGGGGAGTCCCTCCCACTGCGCTGGCAGAACACAATTACTGCTAGAAGCTATAGCAGCCAATCATATGTAGAAAAAAAAATCCGACAGGGTGGCTGAACTGAAATCAAATCGATGGATCGACTTCAGTGCTACCAGCCTGCCCATAGATGGATTGAATCCTGGCAAGCCCCTGCTGAACTAGCCGAAATTCGATCCAGCTATGGCTGGCTTTAGTCTGCAGTGGATTTTTCCCACTGCAGCTCAGTAATAAAGTCAATGTCAATGTCTGACATCAGGGGAGCCAACAGAGGAAGTACAGGGGTTAGATAAAAAAAAAAAATGGAAACGCATGATTTGCAGGTGTGAAAGTGGCGACATGTTTCGCATTGAAAGCTGAAGTGATGTACCATTCTTCTGCTGTGTGATGAGACACCTAGCTGACAGGTGGGAAGCTTCACTTTCTTCACTTGCTGCATGCGCTGCTAGTATTACAGAATCATGTCAGAGCTTCAAAGAGGGCAAATTGTTGGTGTCGCTTAGCTGGTGACTGAAGTTGACAATTTATTTGCCGTGTGGCGAGGTACAGTATCAAAGGTTATGGCGGCATATACAGTTTCCAGGAAAACATTTTTGATAAGCGCGGTCCACATGGTCAACTGATCGAAAGAGACAAAAGGACACTGCGCAGGATTGTGACCCGGAATAAGAAAACAACTGCTGCAAAAGTGACTGCAGAGCTCAATCTCAGTGAAGACTGAGTTCCGTGAAGACTGAGATTGAGCTCTGCAGTCACATTTGCAGCAGTTTTCTTACCCCTAGATACAATCTGGCGCAATGTCTTTTTGTCTCTTTCGGTCAGGTGACCATGTGGACCGCGCTTATACTTATCAGATAGCGTTTTTCTGGAAACTGTATATACCGTCATAACTTTTGGTACTGTACCTGGCGACTTGACAAAAAAAATTGGCAACTTTAGTCACAGAGGCACCAGCTAAGGGGCACCAACAATTTGCCCTCTTTCACAAGTGTAATAAAAGCGCCACACCCTTAATACTTTAAAGTAGCAATTCCACCTCAAAGAAACCAAATAAATTTCTTAGTGCTATAACTTAAATAAAAAATAAATAAAGGAATGCGCTAAAACCACAAACTATTCCTAATTTAGTGTAGAAACATTAGTGCAAAAGATATATATATCTATTCTCAATTAATATCAAAAAATATCAAAATTATGTGCAAAACTATTTAGTGCACTAAAAAATAGTTTTGCACATAATTTTGATATCTTTTTATATTAATTGAGAATAGATCTATATCTTTTCTACACTAAATTAGGAATAGTTTTTGGTTTTAGCGCATTCCTTTATTTAAATTTGCCCTCTTTGAAGCTCAGTAAGCTCTGACATGACTCCGTATTACTAGCAACACATGCAGTGAATGACGACAGTGAGGCTTCCCACCTGTTAGCTAGGTGTCTCATCACACAGCGGAAGCAAAAGAATGTAAGGGCTCATGTACACTGCACGTTCAGGAGCTTTTCTGCGTTTTTTTTCAGCAGCCCCTGAACTCTCCCTAATGTTTTCCTATGTGTCCATGTACACATCATCGTTTACAGGCAGCTGAGTTTACAGTCTTTTTTTGAACGCACCAAACTTGTGTTCAGGAGTAGATTTTATCAGCGTTTCAAACGCCAAACGCTTGTAACCGCATTTATAATCGTTTGCGTTTAGAAGCGTTTTTTTAACTGTTCCATATCCAAATGCTGTCCAGAGCCTTTTTCATCATCAGAAATGCATAAAAAGCATTTTCCATGTATTCAAATGGACCCGGTACAGCAGCGCAGTCAGTTCCAGGTTTTGTGTGAAGGAAACAATGGTAGAACGCGCCGCGTTATCCTCATGATGGGATCCATAGTGAATACAACCAGAAAAGACAGGTCATCTCCACACATACTGCTCTCTCTGCTTCTGCTCTCTCTATTTCTCTTAAAATATCTGAAATAGTTAATTTTTTTTACTGTTTTTCAGTGCATTCTTGCATTTTGGAAGGTCTCCTGATGTTATCTTTAAAAAAACGCTTCTAAACGCAAACGCGCATAAACGCGGCTAAACAGACCTTTTTTAACCTACGTTTTCCAGCAGTCGGTTTCCATCATTCAGAAGTGTTTTCCAAACGTCCCGTGTACATGAACCCTTACATCACTTCCAAAACAGAACATGTCATCACTTTCATACCTGCAAATCCTGTAGTGTTTCCATTTTTTTTTTTGTCTAACCCAGTGGTTCTCAACCTGTGGGTCGCGACCCCTTTGGGGGTCAAACAACCCTTTCACAGGGGTCCCCTAAGACCATCAGAAAACACATATTTCCGATGTGTAAAGAGCAGCTACTGTGTAGAAAGCAGCTACTGTGTTGAAAGCAGCTACTGTGTTGAAAGCAGCTACTGTGTTGAAAGCAGCTACTGTGTTGAAAGCAGCAGTATTGGAGGTAAAACGACACTTCATGAATTATAATTACTGGGTAAATAATTTTATGGTTGGGGGTCACCACAACATGAGGAACTGTATTAAAGGGTCACGGCATTAGGAAGGTTGAGAACCACTGGTCTAACCCTTTTATCT